AATGCTTTTTTTTGGCCCCTTTTTGGCCCCTTATACCTAAACTTTTTGGGCAATTACCCCCAAACTCAATTCCAGCTTTCCCTTTGTGATATGGAACCTTGTAGTACAATTTCAGAGAGATCCATACACTTACACACAAGTTATTGTCATGAAACTAGAAAAATGCTTGTTTTTTGCCCCTTTTTTGGCCCCTAATTCCTAAAACTTTGAGGCAATTACCTCCAAAATCAATCCTAGCATTTCCTTTGTGATATGAAACCTTGTGATACAATGTCAGAGAGATCCATAGATTTACACACAAGTTATTGTCATGAAACTAGAAAAATGCTTGTTTTTTGCCCCTTTTTGGCCCCTTTATTCCTAAAATTTGGAGGGAATTACCCCCAAAATCAATCCCAGCATTCCCTTTGTGATATGGAACCTTGTGGTACAATGTCAGAGAGATCCATACACTTACACACAAGTTATGTCTGGAAGTTACAAAAATGCTTATTTTTGGCCCCTTTTTGGCCCCTAATTCCTTAACTGTTGGTACCATAACCCCCAAAATCAATCACCACCTTCCTTTTGTGGTATTGAACCTTATGGTAAAATTTCATTGAGATCCATTCACTTAAACTAAAGTTAGAGTGCAAAAACTAATGTGTCTTCGGACGAAGACGAAGAACGACGACGACGCCAACATCATACCAATATACGACCACAAAAATTTGTTGCGGTCATATAAAAACATGTACCGCAAATACAGAACATGCAGAATTCCAAATCCATATATATCATTCTATGTTTTCATGGTATTTATTGTGCTTATTCCAGATGTACATGATAGAAAAAACAAAGAATATGGGGTATCCATCCATGACACAAAATCAGTGCATGCACAGCAAAAAAACACACAAAAAGCAAAGGAACGGTGCTTTTATTGCTGTTATTATGTATATAATATAACACAGTGGCGTAGCTACCATTGACGCAACGACGCTCTTGCGTGCACAAAGGAAATGGCCCCCAAAAAAATCATAATTAAAACATCATGGCAGTCAAAAAAAGAAAGAGTGCGATTGACTGTCACTTTATATATATAGGTGTTTCAACTTGTCAAAGGTTTCCGTGTTTTCTATCAGTTCATTTTTATTGTGCGTACATAGGTATATACAATTTTAAGACCATCTACTAAACGAACTACGAGATCGTCTTTTCAATTCGGAAGAACGTTTTCTTGCCCAGATGCTTTTTCCAAACAATCTGAAAAGTTTGAATCAGGACCATCAAATTCGCATATTTCGCGCCTACGAGTCCGATCTTCAATCAGAGATCAGTTTCTTCTCAAAATTAAAAGGTGGGTTGCGCGATGGGATATTTATCCATCTAAAAAACCAGACCATCTCTGTGCAACATTGAAGATGACACCGAAAGAACTTTGCCCAAATATATTCTGTATTCTGCAAATACTTGTCACCATGCCACCCTCAACCTCTACTGCTGAACGCTCTTTCAGCGCTCTGAAACGCGTAAAAACGTATCTGAGATCGACCATGGACAAGAAAGACTTTCTTCACTTGCACTGCTGCACGTTCATTCTGATTTTGACATGGACACTAAAGAAGTTATTGACACGTTTAACAATGCTAGGCAAATGGAAATGTTACTCTCCTAAAGGACCTCGGTTGATAAATTCAGTCTTATATACGGTCTTACATACGAACGTCACATTCATATATCACCAAATTAAAAATTGATTGTTTGAATTGCTTTGTTTTCATATGTTAACATATATGTCATGAGATGATCCAATTCTCTAGCCCTTTCTTTGTTTGAAGCATAATAAATTGGCGAGCATTGCAAAGTTTTTAGAATTTTTTAGTCAGTTTTAGGTCTTTGATTTGATATACAAGTATAGCAAAACACTCAACTGTGCATACTTCACTTCAAAATTAACCATCTTAGATTGAAAAAAGATTCATTTTCTGTAAAAAAGGGTCCAAAATTTTTTTTCGCCTCAATCCGCTCGGCGAAATTTTTTTGCTTCGCTACGCTCGGCAACTTCTGCGTGAAGATCAGTATAAGTCTAGCTATGCCACTGTAACATGTATTGTTATCTGTTTTTTTTAACAAAAAAGCAAATAAAAAAGAAAGTTAATCATCTGTCAGTTCAACAACTGAATTGATTTGAAGTTACAACTACCTTGGACAGTTAATTAAAGGACCAGAACTGCAATCCTCTGAAATTCAACTATTCCGATCAGATTCAAGATATATGATGTTGATAGGAACGTTTCAAAAATGTTTAGGTATTTTTCTAGGAAAAGAGAAGGTTTTATAAGGTCATTTTTGCCCTACTGAGTTTAAAATCAATTGTAAATCTGTCAAATAACATACTTTTGGTGCTCACAAGTCAGATATCAGCGATATCCATATGATGAAAAGGAGAAGTGGGATATATGTCCATGAGACAAAAACCCAACTACAAATCAACCAAAACACAGTCAAATTTACATGCTTGCTTTAGGACAAACTTCTTGCATCTAAGGAAGACTGCAAAAACTTCCAAAGTTGTTTCATTCTGAGATCATCCTACCAATATTTGGATACATGTATGAACAATAGACGAAAAAAGACATTTTGTCTCATGTGTAAAAAAGTTGAGGGAAATTGAGGCTTACGAATATTGATGCTAGTTGAATATCTTTTTTGGTAAGGCTGCTTCCCATACATGTATTTAATATAAATTTCAACAAAATTATACTGTGGAGTTTGGAAGCATTATTGTTCAGTTTGGTGTATTCCCTGGGTATAGGTAAACCACAGAGTAACAAGAAATCAGCAGTCAAATTCACTGCAAACCATGTTTTTATTTTTGTATTTTGAGGGTTACCATATTCGAACTTAAAGAGGGCAGATAGTATGAATGAAAGTGATGTACTCTAATGTATGAAGGTTTCAGGCTTGTTTGACCTGCCACATTCTGTGCCTATTGTCCAATCTATCAATTGCAAGGATCACATGTCCTGAACTGTAAAAGTGAAAATATTCAATATCGAAATAGACATCATTTTGTCATTAGTAACAACATATTAAATTTTGAAAAGCATCGGTTGAACAGTTCATAAGTTATTGCAAGTAACTTATTGGCAGCCCAACAATGGATATTTGAGCGATAAAAAAGGATGTTTGAGCGCTAAAGTATAGATCATTTGAGCGAAAAAGAATTAAGAATGATGAAGGAGTACCTCTTCCGTTCACCACATATAATCTGTTACCCCTGATCACCACGGGGAGGTGAAAGTAGAATTTTCGAGCAGGATATAGTAAATAAAATATGGAGTTTATAATGCACAAAGTTTGAAACATCTTTTAATTGTAAAAAAAAAACAAAGCACTGTCATAAAACTTAAAACTCGGCAATAGCATTATTTACAAGTCGGTTCGGGCTTGAAATTTAATATAGGCTTTCGACATAAAAATATATTTATTTTACTCTTTTTTCTTACTTTTTAAAAATATTTCCTTAATTCCTATTAAAGTATCACAGAAAATTTCACTCAAACGTCCCATTTGAAAATCCAGGCATGGTTAATATTTTAGCGCTAAAATGTCCTATGATGTCGTCGCTCAAATGTCCCTATGTGCATTTTTTATTTTCGCTCAAATGTCCTATGCCCCTGCAGCCCAATGCCAACAATACTTTTAGTAACCAGATTTTTCCTTCAGAAAACAGGATAAAATGTTCAACAACCAAACAATTTTCTATAGGCTTATTGCAGACTTTGTCAAATCTCCAAAATAATTTTTTTCATCAATCCATGAAAATTGGTACCAAACAAAATAAATGAATCCACAGAATGTAAAATGGTCATTTTAGGTCAAAGAAGAAAGAATGATAAGGGCCAATAGATAAACCCCCAGAATTAGAAAATATAAAATAATCCTAAATCTATCAAATAACAGCCTTTAGATGTTCACAAGACATTAGTCAGTAAGACGTAATGGGTTTTAATCAGTGTTGAAGGCAGTATTGGTGACTTGTACTTGTTCACATCTGTGTCCATTGGATTTTTCTGGATTATAGTTTATTGGCCATCATACAACGTTTCCTTACTTTTATATTGTAAAATATTTTATTTCGCTTGATCCAAGAATCTTTGTTTTTAACTTTGCAATGAACAAAACAATTCAAAATATGAATTTCAATTGGTATTCAATTTTTATTGGTATTGGTCAAGAAGTCCATAAAAAAATTACCAACTCACATATTTTTAAAATGAGATATGAATCATGATCTCACTGTTTGTCATGCAGTGTACATATTCCAAGAGAGATCAATACCACCTAGACAGTTTAAACAATTGCAAATGCAAATATAGATTTTTTTCAAAGATTTAAAAACTTTAATAATAAAATGTAATTCATGAGAACCCCGGTATAAGTTTCATCAAATAAAATGAATCATATAACATAACAACATTGAAACAAAAAGTTTCAAGGAAGACAAAAAAAATATTTTCAATTTGGAATACATTTTTATGTTCATTTGATTAACAGGGGGAAGCACTCCATGTGATAAATGCATTAGGAGAAAGAAAACATGAATGGTGACCTTCATTTTCACTCTTATTTCCTCAAAGAACATACAGAAAACTACATGTATCTTCAAATTTATTTTTGAATTTCTTTCTCTTCACATAACCAGTATTATGTATTTTTTCTAGATATATCTTGAACATCTATACATAAATCTGTATAGGATAAGAATGCAGCCAGTTAACCTTTCTAATATTTTTAAAATGCATATCTTTACATAGTATGTCGGGTAGAAAATGACAAATATTCTTTAGGTACATATAATCTAAAGAATATTTGTCATTTTCTACCCGACAGTAATTTTGTTGTTCTTGCTGAAAATACTTGCTTCTGGCTCATAACTTGTAAATAATGTAAACAGAACATTCAAGTCCTATTAATTTTAATAAACAGATGTGTGACATACAATATTAACATACCTTAATAACAGTTCTTTTGGGAGTTTCTTATTTATTGGAGCATCATCATCACTAATGGATATATTGGAAACCTAAAATAAATAATTTCTCTCATCAATGCAAATCATACAACAAATGTATAGACATGAGAGCACTTAAAATGCTATTTTCCACATAATCTACATTTCCTAGGGGAATTAAACTCTAGTAAAAATACTTGATTGGTTCCAAATTTGCCAAAGACATAGCTGACATAACCTTATGATATAAATTTCATATAAAAATCTGACAAGAATTGTAGGAATGAGAGTGCTTACAAAGATTGGACAGATCAACAGATAGACTCAGTTATTTCTATGTTCAAGCTCTTTGTTGAGTTGGGGACAAAACAAAATCACAGGTTTTATAATTAATCAATTGGTACATTGGTAGTAAAAGTTGATACAAGTAAAGCTTAACATCATGACTGGTAGGTACTCAATATAATACATTGTACTTTATAAATTTAGTGCATCGTAAGGAAATTTCTGGATAAAATTTCATCAGGAACCCTCAAATCCAAAATTTGACCGCTGAGACTGTAGGCGAGAAGCTAAATTACCAAAAGGGAAATCGAAAAAATAGCCAAATCCATCTATGAACAACTTTGCATGAGAGAGTAAGAACCTTAGTTTCTTAATGATTTCTAAATTTATCAGCAGAGAATTTAAGATTTTTTTTTTTTTAAATTAAAACAACACTACTAAGCAGACTGAGCTGTTGTTACTCTGAGTCAAAGACAAGCAGTCTACCTGCAGTAGAATCAACCCAGTAAGATGATAAATGAAATCAACAGGTTACAAATTTGGTGCATCAGTGCATCCTAAGTCCTTTTCTGGATTTACTTTCACCAGGAATGCTCAAAACCAGAAATTTACAAGCCAAGGATGTACCGGTATAAGTTATTGATTACATAATGAGCTGTATGATCAAAAGGACCTAAAAGAATAGCAAAATAAATTTAATATCAACTTTGCCTGAGTGCAGTTGGAACCTTAGTTTCTTAATTTATGAAAAAAAATTCAAGGTATGTTATAAATCTTGTCAGTACAAAATCACTGACCACTGAGCTGATGATACATACCATTGGGACAAGCAGTCCATCTGCATATATCTACCCAGTGCTAGTAAATGATAATAACACTTTATAAATTTGGTGTGTCAGAAGCCCTTTTTTAAAAAGGAGTGCACATGCTGAAATGTCTCGCCTGCTTTACTGACCATTGATTTTAAGATGAAAGTCTTAAAGATAAAGGTTTTGCTTAAAGCATAACAGAAACTTAACATTTTTAATAAAATGCTCCACTGGACGCAGCTTCATACGACCGAGAGGTCGAACCCTGAACAGTTGGGGGCTTGGGGCAAGTATGGACACAACATTCAAGCTTGATGCAGCTCTGAATTTGGATTGTGATTAAATATTTGACACAGCATAGGTTTCTGACACAGAATGAATGTGGTCTAAGAACTTAAAAAAATTAAATTCACCTATTCAAACCATATCATTATTATTTGCTTTTATATATAAATCAGAAATAACCAATTTAAAATGGAAAATTTTAAAGAAAAAAAAAGGAAATAAAATGCTCCGCTGGGCGCAGCTTGATACAACCGCAGAGGTTGAACCCTGAACAGTTGGGGCAAGTATGGACACAACATTCAAGCTTGATACAGCACTGAATTTGGATTGTGATTAAATATTTGACACAGCATAGGTTTCTGACACAGAATGAATGTGGTCTAAGAACTTAAAAATTTTTAATTTACCTATCCAAACCATATCATTATTATTTGCTTTTAAATATAAATCTGAAATTACCAATTTAAAATGGAAATTTTAAAGAAAAACAATATACGACCACAAAAAATTTTTTGCGGTCGTATAAAAAAGGAACAAAGGAAAAAAAAATCCCTCCCCCAAATTTTTTAAACCCCCTTATGATTCATCACCCCCAAACTCAATCCCAGCCTTCCCTTTGTGGTATGGTACTTTGCAGTACAATTTCAGAGAGATCCATACACTTGAACACAAGTTATTGTCTGGAAACTAGAAAAATGCTTGTTTTTTGCCCCTTTTTTGCCCCGAATTCCTTAACGTTTAGGGCAATTACCCCAAACTCAAACCGTGCTTTCCCTTTGTGATATGGAACCTTTTACAAGTAGTACAATTTCATAAAGATCCATACACTTACAAACAAGTTATTGTCCTGAAACTAGAAAAAAACTTGTTTTTTGCCCCTTTTTGGCCCTTCATTCCTAAAATTTTGAGGAAATTCCCCCCACAATCAATCCCAGCCTTCCATTTGTGGTATGGTACCTTGCAGTACAATTTCAGAGAGATCCATACACTAACACACAAGTTACTGTATAGCGGGTTATTTTCGCTTATTTTGGCGGATAAACGAAAAAATCGCGAAAATAAATTCCGCGAAAAATTTATGCATACGTTTGGTAGTTTCGAAGTTAACATGGTTAAAGGATTTTGTAAACGATCTAGCTTTTTCCTGTCGACAGGTCAATAACGGTATATGTTAGTTTTAAGAAGATAAATGCCAAAGGGCATTGTACATAAATGTATTTTATAAAATGACTGTCAGGTGTGTATACCCTTATTAATAAGTGTCAATTAGAATAAGAGTGTAAGGTACTCTTATCAGGTAATTACCCTTATTAATTAGTGTCAAACTATATAAGAGTTTCAAACACTCATGATAATTTTGTAACCTGATTAGTAAGTACATCAAAGGTCCGGTTAATTTCGTAACTAATCAATCGTAAAATTTACAAGACGTTTGAATAACTGAAGTAAATATCTAAGTTAGTGGTATTCTAAAGATTAACTGTATCAGAATCTAATCAATAAATAAGAGGTCATTCCGGTAAAATAAAAAAAACAATTAACCATACCAATAGACACTTGTCAAGTTTTACAATTTTTTAACTGCAACAATTTCAGTATCCACCAAAATATTTAATTGGGACTTAAGATTCCACCAAAATTTTTCATATACTTTGTTGCCCCCAAATCACGAAATTTTACACCTGCGAAAATAACCCGCTATACGGTATGTCTGGAAGTTACAAAAATGCTTATTTTTGGCCCCTAATTTCTCAACTGTTGGTACCATAACCATCAAAATCAATCCCAACCTTCCTTTTGTGGTATTGAACCGTATGGTAAAACTTCATAGAGATCCATTCACTTAAACTAAAGTAAGAGTGCGAAAACCAATGTGTCTTCGGACGACGACGACACCAACGTCATACCAATATACGATCACAAATATTTTTTGCGGTCGTATAAAAAAGGAAAAAAAAATCCCCCTCCAAAATTTTTTGAACCCCCTTATGATTCATCAACCCCAAACTCAATCCCAGCCTTTTAGTATGATACCTTGCAGTACAATTTCAGAGAGATCCATACACTTAAACACAAGTTATTGTCTGGAAACTAGAAAAATGCTTTTTGGCCCCAAATTCCTACACGTTTAAGGTAATTACCCCCAAACTCAAACCCAGCTTCCCCTTTGTGATATGGAACCTTGTAGTACAATTTCATAAAGATCCATACACTTACACACAAGTTATTGTCCTGAAACTAGAAAACTGCTTGTTTTTTGCCCCTAATCCCTAAAATTTTGAGGCAATTACCCCCGAAATCAATCCCAGCCTTCCCTTTGTGGTATGGTACCTTGCAGTACAATTTCAGAGAGATCCATATACTTGAACACAAGCTATTGTCTGGAAACTAGAAAAATGCTTATTTTTGGCCCCTTATTCCTAAACGCTTTGAGCAATTACGCCCAAACTCAATTCCAGCTTTCCCTTTGTGATATGGAACCTTGTAGTACAATTTCAGAAAGATCCATACACTTACACACAAGTTATTGTCATGAAACTAGAAAAATGCTTGTTTTTTGCCCCTTTTTTGGCTCCTAATTCCTAAAACTTTGAGGCAATTACCCCAAAATCAATCCCAACATTCCCTTTGTGATATGGAACCTTGTGGTACAATGTCAGAGAGATCCATACACTTACAAACTTGTCTGGTAACTAGAAAAATGCTTGTTTTTGGCCCTTAATTCCTCAACTGTTGGCCCCCATATCCCCTAAAATGAATCCCAACCTTCTACTTGAGGTATTAAACATTGTGGTACAATTTAGGAGAAATCGAAATACTTATATGCAAGTTATTATCCTGAAACTAGAAAAATGCTTGTTTTGGGCCCCTTTTTGGGCCCTTAATTCCTAAACAGTTGGGACCATCATCCCCAAAATCAATCCCAACCTTCCTTTTGTGGTATTGAACCTTCTTAAAAAGTTTCATAAAGATCCATTCACTTAAACTAAAGTTATTGTCCGGAAACCAATGTGTCTTCAGACGACGACGCAGACAACGACATCATAACATTATACAATCCAAAAAAAATTTTTGCGGTCGTATAAAAACTCCCAAAATTTCCTTAAAATTACCAATTTAGTGACAGCAAACCAACAATGGGTTGTTCAGTTCATCTGAAAATTTTAGAGCTGATAGATCTTGACCTATTGAACATTTTTATCCCGTCAGATTTGCTCTAAATGCTTTAGTTTTTTAGATAAAAGCCAAAAACTGCATTTGACCCCTATGTTCTATTTTTAGCCACAGCAGCCATGTTTGTTGATGGATCATAACTTCGGATACAATTTATAAACTAGATACCCTTAGGAACATTCGGTTAAAGTTGGAGGTATTTGGTCCAGTAGTTTCAGAGGAGAAGATTCTTGAAATAGTTTATGACGACGACAGACAACCACGACGGACGCCAAGTGATGGTATAAGCTCAAAACAGAACAAAACACAAAATCTTAACATTGACCATTGAACCATAAAAATGAGGTCAAGGTCAGATGATACCTTCCAGACAGACATTTACACCTTACAATCTTTCCTTACTTCAAATATAGTTGACCTATTGCATATAGTACTTGAAAAACAGACAAAAACACAAAAACTAAAAAACTAACATTGACCAATGAACCATGAAAATGAGACCAAGGTCAGATGATACCTGCAAGACAGACTTGTACACCTTACAGTCATTCCATACACAAAATATAGTTAACCTATTGCTCATAGTACTTGAAAAAGAGACCAAAACACAAAAACTTAACATTGACCAATGAACCATGAAAATGAGGTCAAGGTAAGATGAAACCTGCCAGACTGACATGTACCCATTACAATCATTCCATATACCAAATATAGTTAACCTACTGCTTATAGTATTTGCGAAACAGACCTTATCATGTAACTTTAACCTGATCCCTTAAATGAGGTTGAGGTCAAGTAAACTCGTCTGACGGACATGTAGACGATGCAAGGAACCTATATACCAAATATAGTTATCCTATTACTCATACATGTAAGTGAGAAACTCAAATGACAAAAAAACTCAAATTTCTTTTCAAGCAGTCGCTGAACCATGAAAATGAGGTCAAGAATGGACATATGATTGATGGAAACCTTGTAACATAAGGTATCTGCATACAAGATATGAAGCAGGTCTTCTACCGTCTGAAATATAAAGCTTTATACAAATAATTTATGCCATCTCCGGCGGATAGTAATACCTATGTCTTGCATACTGCGATGCAGGTGAGACAAAAATTTGGAAGCCAAGGATGTAAATGTGCTAGAATGCATGCATGTATTGCTACTGATTTTTATTGTTTGTTCTTATGTTGTACTGTTAAACCACTGATCTAGGCAAGGGTAGGGTTGAGCGCTCAAAAACATGTTAACCCCTCCACATTCTTTATGTGATTTCCCCGAGTCAGGAGCCTGCAGTTCAGTGGTTGTTGTTGGTTTTTGTCTGTTAAATTGTTTTGTTATAAATAAGGCTGTTATTTTTCTCCGACTTGTTTTGTTTCACCTTTTTCAATTTTCATGTCTGGGTTTTTTTTAGCTCACAATATGGTATAGGTTTTTCTCATTGTTGACGGCTGTACATTTGCCCATAATTGCTTACATCCACTTCATTTGATGATGATGGATGGCTGCTTAACGTCCAGCGGCAAATTAATATACATATTCAGGACGAGAACATGTTAATGTAATATGAATATTTACCCTGCTTTGTACTAGACCGACACGCTGAGCCAGATTTTTAACGTGCTAGTTCACAAGGTAACAGTCCACAGGAAGACATGTCACCATAACCTGACACATTATTCTAACTCATACATAATGTAGCTGACCAGTCTTTGTTCTTCCTCCTTTATCATGTTTATGCCATGTGGATGATGTGCTTAGTGGAGAAGCAGCAAATACCAACTTTAAAGTCTTTGGTTTGACCCAACTCGTACTCGAGGCAAACATGCTACCACAAGTCCACCTGACGGGATCCCGCTTCATTTGAACTCTGGTGGATAGTTGTCTCATTGGCATTCATACCACATCTCCTTATTTTTATAATGAAGAACTTCATCATATATTGACAATTGTTGAAGTGTTTCCATTGAATTTTCATTATTTTTACAGGATATGTGACTTCTCTTTTTGAAACTGATAGGGAGATGTGGTGATACTTAAAGAGAAGTGCTTTTTTGATCACAACGCTTTTATCAATGTTTGTTTTTTACCAGGATATACATGTATCTGTATCCTTAGCACATTTATATTTACATGTATTTAATTCTTTAGTTTTATTGTACAAATCCAATACTATTTCATGCCTGAATATAACATTACTGTTGTCTCAGTTTATGTCTTAAATTGTCATTTATAGTTACACAATTATATTTTTCCCCTTGTCTGGCAAAATAAACTAAATATCTAGCTAGCACTGTCATGACTTGCAGATCTAAACAAAATAATTTAGAAAAAAAAAAAAATATTTTTTACAAATATTATAAGTTCAAAGGGGATAATTTATACTCAAATCAATAAATTGAAACAGTGCATTTGCATTAAAAATTTATAGACTTGTGACTATAGGAATCTAACAAAATGTCTATCAATGTGTGTTGAAAGTGTATTTTTCACTTTTGGACACATTATCCTCCTGTCAGCTGAGCCAAATGTGTGTCTGTAGTTATGATCATAATAAGAATGCAGATTTCAGTCACTGTTGGTACAAAAATAAACAGTCTTTGACAAGCGATTTGGAAAGGAATACTAGTATGACATTTTAATGCAATAAATGGATCATCAACCATTGACTGAAGTTATTTTCATCAAGTTTCAATGAAGTAACAAATTCATTTTGCTGAAAATCAGAACCTTGATGTTCACCAGTGTAATGTATAAGGGCTGAAAGTGAAAAAAAATAGTTTGATTTGTTTGCATAAAAAGTCATTTCTTTGAAATAACATCTAATGATCTAATTCGTCTTCAGCCAGGTCTCCCAGTAGTGTGAACCCTTTTGCACTGAAACCAATACTGATTTAGAATCTGTATGTTAACTTCTGACAGTGAATTTGCAGAAGCATTGTAGCCTCCATTCCTTGAAGAAGTTATGCAACTACATCTGGCCTGGTGACCTCATTGAGTTGTCTGCCACACACAGATATAAGGATAATTTTAAGTATATTTATTTAGTTTACCACAAAATACTATAATATGTCCAAAAGGGACCTAAAAGAATGTGTCATCTAGATCTACATGTAACTTTAAACAGGTAAACATGCTTGAATAACAGATTCTTTTAGCTTTAGCTGTTATAAAGTATTAATGCTCCTCATAAATGTTTAATCACAAATCCATTTCCAATTTTGAAGAATGACAAAACATGAAAAATCATAACTTTGATCAAGTCATGCATGTACCATCATAGATATAAAACCTGAAGAATCAAACTTCATGCATTATTATATCAAGACAATGAAATGGACTCAACTTAGGTTGCAATCCAGTAAATTTCAAAAGCCTATTTTCAGGTGCATGTTTGTTAAATTATCTTTACTTTCAACTAGCAATAAACTTCTCCCTTTAAACATGTACATTTATATAAATATATACAGGGATATCCATAGATGAAAGATAATAATGGTGGAACTTTCACCAGGACAAACCCAGCATGTTGATTTCATTTCTCTATTTTGTTGTCAGAACTGGTGGACAGACAGATTTTATTGTTTATCATATTTATTTCATTATAGAATGTCCAAAATTATCATTATCACCTGTGACAACCTGTTCCTGGCATTTATAGTACTTACTCTATTGACAGTACACATAGTGCTCCTGAAACTTCAAATGCATTATGAACCAATGTTCAAGAGATTTTTTCCTTGCTATTTTAGTCTTTTTGTTAGGGCTTTAAAAAATTACGATAGTTTTAAAATAACCTGAATATTTATTCAAATCAAGTCATCTTATAAATGAACTTGTATCAACAGTTTGACACATCAACAACAAGAAATATGTTTGTACCCATTTTTGTAGACATGCAGGGCAATAGTTTAAATGATCAAAAGATTTTGATAAAGTAAATTACTAATGCCTTCTCAAGAGGTACTAGTGTTACATGTATATGGCATGAAATAATGTTGCGTTTTACGATTAAGTCTCGAATCTTCTAATCTTCTAAAACAGGTGTGCAGATTTCACGTAAAAAAACATGCCCTAATGTTCTAGTTGTAAAAATGTTTTTTCCTTATTGAGTTTTAAGTTAAATTTTTAATATTTAATGCCATAACAGTTCCTGAAACAAAGTAATTAAATTATGCAGTTAACAGTCTGAACTTGATCAGTGTAGTGTCCTGTAAGGTGATTATACATGTACCTATACAAGTGATTAGTGGGTGTCATTGGGGTCTAAGCATGACTCATGAAAATCAAATTATTGTGCATGAAAACGAGAAACAAAGTTGGGCGGCACACGCGAAATTACAAGTGTTTTCATTACAATGATAAGTGGGATACGGGAATCTGACAGAGCAACTTAATAAGTTGGGTCCTGGATCAGACCACCTGATTTGTTAATAGCCTGATATCCCCCAGGAGACATTTAAACTGTAAGTAGGACCTTTCGATTATAATACACAAGATGAGTTATGAAATTACAAGCAATGGAAGTTAAATAGCAAACAAAAATGGTGGCGCTTAGGGAATCAAAACTGAGTTTTTATTTCATGTCAACCTTGGCACCATTATTTTAACGATGGCAGGTTTAATAGGGGAGATTATTGAAGGTGGCAGCAGATAAATTAACAATGACAGTGCACCATCATACAACAGTTCATGTAGATCTCCGATATTTGTAATGATTATGCATACAAACTTTGAAAACACTAACCATGTTGTTTAGTTTAACTGTGACTTCCCTAAAGTTGTATCTATATAAATATTTCATGTTGCACACTTTATAATGGTCAAGTTCTAGGACCAGGAAAAATGTTTCTTTCTTTAATAAGAGCAATTTAAAGAATATTCATAACAAGAGTTCTTGTCTTTGTTGCATGTACCTCTATAAAGTTTATACATTTGTAAATCATATGATAAAACATTTCTTCTTTTTTTTATATACATGTATATATATTTGCATATTTTCTTGAAAAGGACACATCAATGACTTCAAAATCAATGAAATTGTAATCATATATATTTTTTCTTGTGAGCTGTCTGGTTGACCTTTTGGTGGACCAGGAAACACGTGTTTCTTTGTTTGGAAATAAGCACTTGACAGCTCAATGCCTTGTGACAATTTTCAATCTCTTCACTCAACCGGAAGATATACATAAGCGAAGAATTATTGACATCAAGAGTTCTTGTTGTCAGTAACCTTAAATCTTAATCGTCACTGAAGTTGTTGGAAAATATGCAACTGATCGTATCCCGATTATTTCATGGCAACGTTTTTTCATTTGTTGGTTGTCACAAATCAGCTGATTTCGACAACATCCAGTCTTCTAATTCGGTTTTATCTCGCAAATGCTAACTAATTATTCCATACCCACCTCTGATCGACTTTTTACATGATGATTGAAGCTGTTGTGGTTATTCATCACGCCAAACCATTAATAATGGTTTTTGCTGTATATATTTTCATCAGGAGAAGAACGATCGAACAAAAGAGAAATAATAACAAATCATCTTCCGACGGCTGATAAAAGGGGCTTTCTGATTGGATCATTGTAATGACGTAATTGATGTCAACATAACAGGTGCTCGATGCAGACGAAATTTTCTTACATTTGCTTTAATTCGCGGACTGTTTAGTGTTCCAACAGTAGTATCTAGATTTTGATTTTCGAGGAAAAACTGATTTTCATGTATTTTGAAAATTATAAATTATGTGTTTGTTGACAGTCATATAACCAATCAAAAAAGCTAATACACTTTGCGTCTTCAGAATGATATTATATAAAGTTTATGAATATGGTAGTTCAGAGACATATATACACATATATGTATATATGTCTCTGATATACTGTATTAAATAATATAACGTTATCTTATGGACCAGAGGCGGATTTACGGGGAGCCGGCCCGTCCCCTTATGGAGCTTTATTCAGTATGGCAAATCCAGACCGTTAAAAAATTGCCAGTTCCCCTGCAAATTTTGTCTAGTCCCCCCCCCCCCTTTTCAAAATCCTGGATCCGCATCTGTGGACCATCATCTGGACCAATAGATATTAAAATATAATAGATATACCATACAGAAGTGTTCTTGTAAAAAAATGAAAACAACACTTTATAAATTGCATGCGTCCGAAACGCTTTTCTCGAAAACTTCCATATAATCAAAACGGCCAAGGATGTGTATACAAGAACCGAAACAGTTGATGAGCTATATGACCAAAAAGGACCTATATAAAAACTAAAATCCATCTAAGGTCAACTTTGCCTGAGGGCGATGAAACCATAGTTTCTTAATTTCAAATTTATAAACGGACTTGAGAAGGTTTCATTTATACAAATCATGTCAGATAGAACCGACTGACAACTGAGCTGATGCAGCGGTATCGACCCAGTGCTGTAAAATCATGAAAATAACACTTAATTTAATGCCGCGTCAGAAGCGCTTTTCTGGATTTACCTTCATTAGGAACGCTCAAAGCCGAATATATGAAAGCAATTAAGGATATTTAAGACACACAGTTTATATTTAAAATATTGCTTGCCCATCTTTATTGAAAACTGAAGATGTTTCAAATTCTGGCAACACAACAGTTTGGATAGGCGAAAATACCAATTCGATCAAGTGTTAGTCTGTTTATACGCGATTTTTTTTCTCGATTAAAATATTTGTGTTTTGAAGAGAAGTAAACTATTTAAAGGTTTAAATACGAGTATCATATCATGATTTCCGCCATGACGAGTTGGTTGACAGTTACTTTATGGATGTTCCGATTGTTTTAACCAAAATCACGTCCTCTTTTCTTCGAATGTGACCTACCGAATTAGACTTATCAACGGGTTTGTACTTACATGAGCAACACGACGGGTGCCACGTGTAGAGCAGGATTTGCTTACCCGTCCGGAGCACCTGAGATCACACGGTTTTTGGTGGGGTTCGTGTTGCTCATGCAGTCTTTAGTTTTCTATGTTGTGTTTTGTAGACTGTTGTTTGTAATTGTTCTTTTTATTTTTTTGCCATGAAATTGTTACTGTTCGTTTTCGACTCACGAGTTTGACTATCCCTTTGGTATCTTCGGCCTCTCTTAATTTTTTAATTATTTTTGAACCGTGGGGGAGCGAATTGTAAATTCTTCGAGATGACCAGCATCTCGAAACAATTAACTAGCCATCTTACAGATTTTATAATTCGCTTACACATTGAAAAGTACGATATACTGCTATCAGAACCTTTAAGAACACACATGAATCTATGATCCAGCGAATTTTAAAAGAAAACATTGAAAGGCTTTTTGAAAATGGCCCTGATGTGCAATAAATCTACCAGGAGACATTTGTCAAATCTCTTTCAGTTGACGGAATCCAGGATTTTGAAAAGAGGGTCAAACTAGTCAACGATTGGGGGTGGCACGTGGAAAAAAATCTATGCATATGTATCTCCATAAGGGGGCCCTGGGCCACTGGTCTCCTCTAAATCCACCTAAACTTGATTTTCATTTGCTGAGGGTCAATTTGCTTCCTCTAAGAATAAAAAAGAGGATGTGGTATGATTGCCTATCAGACATCTTTCAAACAGAGAGCAAACTACGTAAAAATTAGCAACCATAGGGCACCGTAAGATCTTCGCAATGAGAAAAAACACATACTCTAAAGCGAGCTATTAAAGGCTTCGACCTGATAAATGATGTAAAATAATTCAAACGAGAAAACTAACGGCCTGATTTATGTACAAAACAATAAACTAAATACAAATATGATATATAGCAACAAACTACAACCACTGAATTACAGGTTCCTGAGTTCTGATAGGCACACACTCAATGTGGCGGGGTTAAACATGTTTGCGGCGTCCAACCCATCCCTAACCTAGGACAGTGGTATAACAGCGCAACATAAGAACAAACTACAAAAATCAGTTGAAAAAGGCTTGCTTTATCAGATCGAAACAAAGCACTCACACAACAAAAAAAAACCAACTAACAAAAAGACTTTAGTCACAAAGTACCGATCTAAGAGTACTCTCAGTTACCGAAAGCTAGCCCAAAACCAATAACAACGAATAAAAACAAATCTTGTATCCAAAACTTATATACCAATCAGCATATATCTAATCAGTTTATGTAAAGACGTCATAAACAGTCAGAGAAAAAGATGAGTTAGTGCCATGCCAAAATATAGGTATCGACAGAATCTAGGACCGTAAATCTACATAGCTCATGATAGCTGTATAGCAATAGTATTTAGCTATGCTTTTGATTACTGATAACAAAATCAATGTTTGTACCGGTAGAAACAAGATTCAAAAATTTTTATTACATTGTTGAATTGATAACGTTTAGAATAAGTTTATTCAAAGGATCGATAAGTTTATACAGATATCTAAATTAACGAGCTCTATAAACTACAACATCGTAAAAATAAGGATGAGACCTCACGGGCCGTTTGTAATAAAAGAGGCGAAAGATACCAAAAGGACATTTAAACTCGTAAGTCGAAAATAAACTGACAACGCCATGGCTAAAAATGAAAAGGACCAACAGACAAACAACAGTGCACAAAACACAACATAGAAAAATAAAAACTGAGCAACACGAACCCCACCAAAAACTGGGGGTGATCTCAGGTGCTCCGGAAGGGTAAGCAGATAATAAGTTTTCTAAAGGTATCTATGAAAGAATTCAGTTAAGGTTTTACGAAATTTGTTGCACGAAATCCATGACTTAATAATTTACCAGTGGTACATAGATTAACCTAGATTAAGTTCATTGGAATTTATAACGTTGCTTTAGACACGGGCAAAGGGAACGAGTTGAGATATGTAAACATCGTAAGATTGGCCCAAAGGAACATCGCTGTAAAAAAAGGGAAAAATTAACAATAGGGAACGAACAAATCGTCCTTTTTGTCATACATTTATGTATACAGTTCCAGTGTGAAACAAATATCTAAATCTAGGAAGGACAGTTATGGCTGTCTACATGTGATTTATTTAAAGTAAAATTCCTTTGGGTAGTTTCGGCAGTATATTTAGAGAATTTTTGATTATTTAACATAAAATATCATCAAGTTAACGCTAAATTTTGTTGAATTCACCAATTGAATGGAATTACGATAGGGGTCTTTACGGAGTTTGTCCATAAACTGTGAGACATACAGGAACAATAAAATTGAGAATGGAAATGGGGAATGTAGTCTGCAATTAAAGGTGTCCATAGGAAAACGTAACAACCTGTCGATAAATTTTAATGTCAAAATGTACATAGATTTATAAAGAGAAAAATCACGTTTTAATCATCACATTCCAGTAAGTATATATCTAGCATATTTACTTTTTTCATTACAGAAAAGGGCTCTATATGAGTTGTACCCCGAAGAAGAGGTATTACACCAACAAAATGCAAAAATATGCAAAGGCTTCAAGACGAGTTTAATGAATACAAGGATTTGTATAGTAGGAGACTATACAATCCTTGGTGAATATATGAAAAAAATGTATATACCTATCTATAGCTATTTATACGACATGACGCTACCAAAGGTAATCTGCCGCGTGGAGAGTGATTGAGTATCGAAAAGTCTGAACACAAAATAAAGGACTGTTCGTATACATAATAATGTAATATGGGTTATTACATGCTATTTATTTCCTTATTTTGTCTTTACACAATTAAATGTAAAAATGTGAAAAAAATTTAATTAGTTGACAAATGGGTGTGGCTTTTATGTTTGGCTTTGGAAATGTTTGATTCACGAGCGTACCGGATCGGAAGACCAAGTTATGTAAAAAAAACAATCGTTGTACAAAAGGTCTTCATAAAATTAAAATTCAGCAATACTGAACAGAACTTTGAGCCCAGTAGGTTGATTTTGTAGATTCCAAGTCCATGCACTTTTTATTTTAGTATTAAAGAATGGTAGACATGTGTGAAGGCAGCTGGAGTTACCTTCTTTGAGTCATATGTAATTCCAAATCTAATATTGTGGTAGCAACTCCTTCGTTGCAAGATTTTTCCGTTTTTATTATTTTTTTGTTTTCGACAAATTGTATCTTTGTAACAATTATAGCAAGTTTGATGGCTCTTTGTATGATGGAGACGCGGATTTAGTAAAAAATAGTGTATTTAAGGACCTCCACATTTCGATTTCAGCATATCTATAAGTTAGGGCAAGGATTTGTAGTATAAATCCTTGGTTAGGGATGTCAACTCGGTGAACAATTACTAATCGGGTATCGTTGGTTTCATCGAGCGATACTCGAGTACTCGCTCGGGAATCATATATCTACAACACAGAAGCACAAAAATACGTACTTTCCATTCTGTGGTTAGTTTTTCAACGGACGAAAAACCGTCTGGGACAAGGAATTACACATAATAAATAGCTTATTACAGGTCTACAAGTACTACTCTTAATTAAGTAAAAAAAAAAAATCATCTAATGAATAAAATTTTAATGAACACCTTTTTAAAAATTATAACAAGGAAAAACCAATAATATTTGGTAATTGTTAAGAAA